ACTCAATTTCCATGTGTCCCCTGCTCTATCTGTTCTAAACTTATGTACCCAGAAAAATCAATGTGGATTCAACGAAATCCTAACATTACTTACCCCCTTACCATAGCATATCCGAACACCCCGTTAATTACTAACCCTAATCCACCTCCCAATCGCATCGCAATATGTACGTTATGTAAAACAAATCCGAATCGTAATTATCCTCCTTACCTTTACCAAATCCCACCTGAAATTAATTCTGTGCCGTTGGAAAAACGCAGATACTTGTCACCCGTTTATCTTCATTGTTCATTGGGACGTACACCCGGTGCCAATCCTTTTTCAGAATATAGAACATTAGTGGGTACCTTTAATTACTCTCAAAATATTCACTCTTTAAGCCTTTATTCGGGAATGCTAGGTGCTTACCTAAGTGCACCATCATCCGATTATTCTGTACCTCCTCCTTGGTTTGATAACTCAATATCAAATGCTGTTAACTGGCTTAAAGAAAACAATCCTTATCTTCGTGAGTACTCACAAATGATTCCGAGCACAAGCAATCAATTTCCTTCAGCTACCCATTCATCTGTTGATGAAACTACTCCCCCGTTTCAACATGGCGATATAGTGGTTCCTCATCAAAGCTTTCCCTCTGAAATCCACGATGAAGATGCCCACTACAATCGTTTAATGGCTGGATTTATATCTAACACTGATATAAACAGAATTCCAATTTCTCTTAATGACCCTAACCTTGAAGCGTTGCTATTTCCAGATTTATATCCCGATGGTCACGGCCACTATTGTGAAATGAGAAATCAGTTAGAAAATATACAACGACGACATGATACATTTGGAAAATATATTAAGCATCGCTTGCTTTCTAAAGATTCCCGTTTCCGACTACATCATTACTGGCCGGCATGGGCATATCTTCAATTAGAAAAATATAGAAACTTTCAAAACACACAACGATTAGTTCGTCAATCAACAGTCAACGAATCACATCGCCCACCAACTGCAATTGATATTATTGAAAGAAGCACTTACACTGACGGCTGGCGCTACAATGAAACAAAAACAACTCCAATTCCTACATTCATCCGTACCGGAGATGGCTACTTTCAAAAAAAAAATATGCATTTAAATACAATGATTCGCGAACTCGGTCTTCCATCCATATTCGTTACCTTATCGATGGCTGAAGGTTCATGGAGTCATCTTCGTGATATACTTGCCGGTACTGATAATAATAACCCATTACCAACCAACAGACCTTTACATACAACACTCCACTTTATTCACAGATTGCAAAATCTTAAAAAACATGTCTGGAAAAATCAAAATATCAGTGAATGGGGCTCTTATACCCATTTTTTTGATCGAATAGAATTTCAAAATCGTGGAGCAGCCCACTTACATGGAGTTTATTGGACAACCTCAGATATAGCTGAAATGATTAGCTCAAACACTATTCGATCAACCCTTCCAGATCCCGATTTAGAACAAGAACTTTATCAAAAAGTTTGCACCTTTCAAATACACACCTGTAGTTCTAAATGTGGAGGTCCAGCTCCATCAGGATCTATATGCAAAAAAGGTTTCCCTCGTCCGTTTTCTGAATTTACTCATTACGATTCCGATAATTATAGATATACGTATAAATGCCTAACTCCAGAAGACCAATGGGTAATTCCATACCACGCACCTACTTTAATGATATGGAATGCTCATATTAATGTTCAATATATTACAAGCAAAGGTCTCGCCCGGTATATAACTAAATATATAAGTAAATCCGAACCTACACATTTGTTTAATATACGTGAAGAAAAACATTACCGTGAATATATCCATGCTCGACGAATGGGCTCAATGGAACTAATGTTTTTATTACTCGGTGAACGCATTGTAAACTCCTCAATACAGGTTCAGTATTTAACAACAGATCCTCCAAATACTCGATCCAAAGCAGTTCTTCCACTCTATATGATCAATTCTCTTGACGATGATCCATATTGGAACGATAAAATAGAAAAGTACTTTGCACGACCGATAGATAGCGTATTCGATGACATAAATTACAAAACGTACTTTGAATTATACGATATTAAATTATCCTCACCAAACACGTCTAACAGAGTAATATATCGTGATAACCTCGAAAATTTTGTTATTAAACGCACAAACCGTATACTAACCCGTATACGTCTCCTACGACCGGAACATGGTGAACCGTATTTCTACCAACAACTATTGTTAAAATTTCCATGTAGATCTGAAGCCGAATTACTTGGTAATCATCAAAATTACCGTGATCGTTTTTTATCCTTATTTCCAAACATACACCAGTCAATTCAAGAACAAAATCATGAATTCGCAATAAGACAAACAACACACACCTTAAACCAATTCAACTTCCTCATCGAAACAATATTATCATCCTTGCATTCAATCTTAACAACTGATATAGTTGATATTATTAAAATACAATTAGATTCTATTAAAATACCTCCAAAAATTGTACCCATAAATCCAACAATTAACTTACCGCCAAGTCAATACATCTGCTTACAAA